TTGTTACACCAGGGCTTTGGTTCTCAACCAGGGTGCATCTCTGCCTTTCCTACCCTTCTTTTTTTTTTTTTTAGAGATATTTTATTTATTTGTCAGAGAGAGAGAGTACAAGCAGAGCGAGAAGCAGACTCCCCACTGAGCAAGGAGCCTGATTTGGGACTCGATCCCAGGACCCTGGGGATCATGACTTGATCCAAAGGCAGCCGCTTAACCCACTGAGCCACCCAGGCGCCCTATTTCCTACCCTTCTTGATATGACTTTTTCTTCATATCTTTGGCTGTGGAAGAGTTTTCTGCTAGTCTCTAAGTCATTCTCAGAAAGAGTTGCTCCAGATGTAGTTATAGCCTTGATGTGTCTCTGGAAGGAGGAGGTGAGCTCAGGATATTTCTACTCTGCCATCTTTCCCTCTAAGAGTAATAACTTGATTTCTAGTGTCCACATCCAAAGAGGAATTTTGACCCAGGATGGATCATACCCAGAGTTTAATCCATAGCTATTTCAGGTGATGAGATTTGGTATTTTTGAGCTGATAATATTAAATGAGATTTTGGACTTGAGTTCATACTGCAATGTATTGAGAAATTGGGGGATTTGGTGATGTAGTACATGTAGTACATGGACATGAATCTTTGGGGACCAGAGGGCAGATTACAGGAGAGTGACTAATCCCCCCCAAAGATATTCTATTTCCTGGAATTTATGTGTGTTACCTTACAATAATAACAAAAAAGACTTTGCCGATGTGATTAAGTTAAAGATCTTGAGATAAAGAGATTATCCTGGATTATTTGGGTGGGTCCTAAATGTATCACAAGTGTCCTTATCAGAGGGAGGCAGAGGGAAATTTGACACCAACAGAAGAGAAGGGGGGGTGTGACCATGGAGGCAGAGATTAGAATGATGCAGCCACAGCCAAAGAATGCTGGCAGCCACCAGAAGCCAGAAGAGCAAAGAGCAGATTCTCTCCTAGAGCTTCTGAAAACAGTTCAGCTCTGCTGACACCCTGATTTCAGCCCAGAGAAAATTATTTTAGACTTCTAGCCTCCAGAACTGTGATAAAATAAATTTCTGTTGTTTCATGCCATGGCCTATCAGCACATCTTCTGTAGAAAATGTTTCTGACTGCAACAAGAGAATGCAGAACACGCTATCCCCTCTGTTATGGAAATGTGACTAGAAGAGAGAGAGACTGTCCTGAACAAGCCTTAGACCTTGAAACTACCATGAGGAAGTTTTCTGGTAGCTGCAGATGCTGTGCAAAACAAATTCTATTACTTGAGACATCATTACAAATCTTAAGAAGTATCAAGATGTCCCTGTTCAGCAGGGAGCCTGCTTCACCCTCTCCCTCTGCCTGCCACTCCCCTTGCTTGTGCGCTCCCCTTGCTTGTGCTTGCTCTCTCTCTCTCTGTCAAATGAATGAATAAAATCTTTTAAAAACTTTTTTTAATTTTAAAAAAGGGACTTCTGGGTGGCTCAGTCACTTAAAAGAGTCTGCCTTCAGCTCAGGTCATGATCTCAGGGTCCTGGGATCGAGCCCTGCATTGGGCTCCCTGCTCAGCGGGGAGCCTGCTTCTCCCTCTCCCACTACCTGTTGTTTCTCTTGCTTGTGAGCTCTCTCTCTCTGTCCTTGTCAAATGAATGAATAAAATCTTTTTAAAAATAAGAAGTATCAGTATGAATATGGCGTTTACTCTCCCATTTCAAACTTTCAGATCTCTCAAGATTCAGTAGGGAACAGTAATAGGAGTGAAACACTCACCTCTGAACCTCTGAGGAACAGAGACTTATCAAGAAAACACAAGTTTTGGGGCGCCTGGGTGGCTCGGTCGTTGGGCGTCTGCCTTTGGCTCAGGTCGTGATCCCAGGGTCCTGGGATCGAGCCCCGCGTCGGGCTCCCTGCTCGGCGGGGAGCCTGCTTCTCCTTCTCCCACTCCCCCTGCTTGTGTTCCCTCGCTCGCTGTGTCTCTCTCTGTCAAATAAAAATAAAATCTTTAAAAAAAAAAACACAAGTTTTTCTGGGCATCCCACCTTTAAGTGTCCCTTTTGTCCAGGATCAAATTTTACCTGACAGCATTTATGGAATCACTGTAACAATGGCCAGATAGTTCCTGTGATGTGTCCTATTTCTGTGTCTCTTCACTGGGGAGCTCCTAGCCAAATTACTAGAAATTTTGTTAGTCATCTAATGAAAGACATCAGATTGATTATGGATAATTTGTTAATCTTCATCTAGAGTGGGAAACCCAATATCAGACTGCTGTTGAAGAATCTTTTCAAGTAAACATATGAAGACTGGAGACATCTCCGTACCTTCATACCTGCAAGTGCTATCTTTAATGGAACAACTATATGAAGTCACTGTTTCAGTAATTTGATGTGTATATTAACAAAAGTAATTCAATCTAAAAAAAGTTTAAAATTTCTTAAGTCGCTAGGGAGGTCCTAGAAAAGAGCCCCATATCTGAGGAAGTTGGAGACTGATAGCAAGGATTTGAGGTGGTGGCCTCATATTTACCATTTATTAAAACGAAACAACAAAAGCAGAGCAGAGATTAGCGAGATGTACACCAAAGGGAAAGGGAACATCTGAGCATGTGCAGGAATGGGCCTACGGAATCGCAGTGGCCAATTCTGGCAGAGCGCAATCCTGCTTCAAGGTGGAGAATCAACCCACTTTAAAAAGGCGGTCCTGGGCGCCTGGGTGGCTCAGATGGTTGAGCGTCTGCCTTCGGCTCGGGTCGTGATCCCGGGGTCCTGGGATCGAGTCCCGCATCGGGCTCCCTGCTCCTTGGGAGCCTGCTTCTCCCTCTGCCTCTCTCTCTGTCTGTCTCTAATGAATAAATAAATAAATAAATCTTTAAAAAAAAAAAAAAAGATTAAAAAAAAAAAAAAAGGCGGTCCTGTCCCTGGAGCTGGACTTTTAGACCCCGTTCCTGACTCACTTGCCCCGCCTACTCTCCTAACCCCTGATTGGCCAGTTCAAGTTCATTAACTGTTCTGATTGGTTTATTACCCTTGGACAGTGGAATTGTGGGATTTTGTCTCGTGGAGCGACTCTTCGTCGCCACCGCTTCAGCTCTGAGGTAAGCGCTCTCTTTGGACCGTCTTGGACAGGTGAGGAATCTCTGTAGATCACTCTAGTAGTTTAGTTCTTGCTGTACCTCACAACAGCCTCAAGATCCTTAGGACTGAGAAATGACTTGAAGCCTTTCGGGGCAATCCCGGTCAGGCAAAGATAAAACTAAAACTATTTTTGGCCTATGAGACTTTCTAATTGCTCTTCCTGAGGGAAGAAGAACACTCTCAGCCGGAGAAACCCCCAAATCAGCTAGTTGCCCCTAGATTTCTTTAACCGGAGATAAAAGCCGCTGCCTGAGTGACTCCTTTATTGCCTCCTCCAGGATAAAGCAGAAACTTTCTTAGCCTCAGAGACCACTAAATTTCCTCTCCCTAAGAGATTCCCAATGCCATCAGTGGAGAACACCAGGCTTCTCCATTAAAAGTTTCCAAATTCTAGGGCGCCTGGGTGGCTCAGTGGGTTGAGTCTGCCTTCAGCTCCGGTGGTGATCCCAGGGTCCTGGGATCAAGTCCCGCATCGGGCTCCCTGCTCAGCGAGGAGTCCGCTTCTCCCTCTGCCCCTCCCCCCCCCGCTCGTGCTCATTCTCTCTTTGGCAAAAATAAATAAAATCTTTAAAAAAAAATAAAACTCTCCACATTCTCAGCCTAAGTGAAGGCTGATCCTGGAGTCTAGGAGATTCCAGTTCTCTTCATACTAATAATTTTTATAAAGATTTTATTTGCCAGAAAGAGAGAGAGAGCATATCCAAGCAGGGGGAGGGGCCACGAGAGACGGAGAAGCAGGCTCCGCACTGAGCAGGGAGCCCAATGTGGAGCTCGATCCCAGAAGCCTGGGATCATGACCTGAGGCAAACGCAGACTCTTAACCACCTGAGCCACCCAGGCGCTCTTCACACTAATAATTTTCAAATAACCTAGTAATGGGCTCTAAATCCACTCTATATTAGAGATCCTCATTTGCTCTTTTCAACAGAACAAAACCCCATATCCCTCCGCCTGAAAACCCAAACCCATCTGTCAGAGACACCATATAATCTATGGGACTTACCTCCCCATTCTTCTGCCTCAAAACACACCCCCTCCCCCTCCATAAAACTACATGTTCACTTCACTGCTTCCTCAACAAGCGTCTTTATATCTTTCCTTCAGGATAAGCCAAACTTCAAGCAAACTACTAACAACAGTAGCCAACTCCCTCTCAAAGTCTTAAGGTTGCTTTGATCATGCTTACAGAAAACCTGTCATCCCTAATCAATACTTTCTTTCATAGATCTCTGGCCCCCTGTTTGTTTTTGTTTTGTTTTAATTTTTTTAATAGATTTTATTTATTTATTTGTCAGAGACAGAGAGAGAAAGCGAGCGAGCGCATGAGTGGGGGGGGGGCAGAGGGAGAGGGAGAAGCAGGCTCCCCACTGAACAAGGAGCCTGATGCGGGGCTTGATCCCAGGACCCCAGGATCATGACCCGAGCCAAAGGCAGACGCTTAACCAACTGAGCCACCCAGGCATCCTTGTTTTTGTTTTTGGTTTTTTAAAGATTTTATTTATTTGTCAAAGAGAGAGAGTGAAAGAGCACAAGCAAGGGGAGCGGCAGGTAGAGGGAGAAGCAGGCTTCCTGCTGAGCAGGGAGCCCGATGCAGGGCTCTGTCCCAGGACCCTGGGATCATGACCCGAGCCGAAGGCAGACTCTTAACCGACTGAGCCACTCAGGCATCTTGCCCCCTGTTTGTTTGACTCCCCCCACCCTTGTCCTTTCTCAGGGACAGATAAGCCCAGGATGGGGAAAAGTAGAACCTTGATTCCAGGTGATTGACTGAATGTGACCTACCCTCAGTGCTGTCTCCCTTTTTCAGGACCTTTGTCCTTGTGGTTGGAGAGATTAGGCTGCGTCCTTTCGAGATCGAACGATTCCCAGCGCCATGAATAAAGACAAATCCTTTTCAAAGAACTCCAAGGAGGATACCCAGAAATCAGAGAAGAAATGCAAGGTGAGGTGATCTGGAGGGGGGAGGGGAATGGCTCAGGGGATACTGTAGAGGGACTAGATCTTGAAGAGGCGAGGTCAGAGGCACTGGGGAAAAGAAGGAGAGTGTCAGGGGGAGATCCAGAGCCTCTGGAGTTTCCTACCTTCACTCTGTCCTCACCTAGCATCTCTGGAAACAACCGGTCTTATGACCTTGCACTGCATTTGGTGACTCTCAATCCATTCTGGAAGGTGAAAGAGCATGCCACCAGCATCACGTATCTACTGCATGCCTGGGGAAAGGGTAGGGAATGTTACCCATGTTCTCTCAGTTAGCCTTGACATTAACGAGGAGAGGGATTATTCTCCCCAGTTCACAGATCCAACATGGAGGTCCTGTGGCAGAGGAAGAGACCCCCGCCGCAGATCAGACATGTTTAGCTAAGTTGCTGCTCTGACTTTTTTTTTTTCCCTAGGCCTTCAAGGATATTTCCAAATACTTCTCTAAGGAAGAGTGGGCAAAACTTGGATACTCAGATAAAATCACCTATGTGTACATGAAGAGAAACTATGACACCATGACTGGTCTAGGTAACAGAAAGTTCTGGGTGCAGACAAACCTGGGAACACATGACCATCCCTCAGTCCCTTACATGCCATGGCTTCTTCCTAGGCTGCAGTAAGTGCCCTGCATCTTCCTTTTGTGCAGGGAGAAATCCCAAGGCAGCTTTGAGGCACTCTGCTCTTTTATATTCTGTGCAGGGCTGAGGACCTGGAGTGGCCACAAAGAGGCTCAGACCTAGATCCTGCCCGTTTCTCTTCTGGTCACCCTTGTTTGGAGTCCCCCAGCTGATGAGCTTGCCTGTCCCCACTGCCTCCCAGGATTCTACCCTGCATCTGTCCTCTCAAGCTGTCTCTGAAGGAACAAATATTTTGCTTCTTTCTAGGTCTCAGGGCCACCCTCCCAGCCTTCATGTGTCCTAAAAAGGGGGCCATGAAATCCAGTGGGCATGATTCTGATGAAGGTCAGGACCCCAAGAATCAGGGTGAGTGGAAGGAAGGGCCTGGAGAGAGTCTCCTGAAGCCCAACTGCTTTGCGGTCCAAGTGCTTGGGAAGGATTCTCGGGAGTTTGTTCCCTCAAAAGCATCTTGGCTGAGTGAGAAAAGTTGGATGTAGAAGGTTAAGTAGAGCCAGAGGCCATTCATATAAAATCCTAAAACATGCAAAACAAGAGGATATATTTTTATGGATAAGAAGTAAATGGTAAATGTATAAAACCTGAATGAGAATAAAACCCATCAAATTCAGGAGTGCAGGGGCGCCTGGGTGGCTCAGTCGGTTAAGCTCTGCCTTCGGCTCAGGTCATGATCCCAGGGTCCTGGGACAGAGCCCCGCATCGGGCTCCCTGCTCGGCGGGAAGCCTGCTTCTCCCGCTTCCACTCCCCCTGCTTGTGTTCCTTCTTTTGCTGTGTCTCTCTCTCTCAAACAAATACAATAAAATCTTAAAAAAAAAAATTCCGGAGTGCAGAGGGAGGGAGGTCAGGGATCAGTGAGGACTGCACAGATGGCTTGAGCTGTGACTTGTTTATAGTGTTTTGTTATATTTTGAATAAAGATCTCAGAACAATCTGAAGCGGTTGTGGGATAATGGGAAGTTCTGAGTAGACTCAGTGGTAGATGTGCATGTGTTTCCAAAATTATTCTCCATAATTTTCTGTACGTTTGAAACATTTCTTTTTTAAAAGGAGTTATGGTTCTTGCTAAACACTGTTAATGAATCACAGGACAATTAAGAAAAATTTAATTGAAGTGTAAATCCATGTGGAGCGCCTGGCTGACTGTCAGTAGAGCACGGGACGCTTGATCTCAGGGTCGTGAGTTCAAGCCCCACGTTGGGCATAGAGATTACTTTTTTTTTAAAGTGTAGGGATGGGGCGCCTGGGTGGCTCAGTCAGTTGAGCGTCTGCCTTTGGCTTGGGTCTTAGTCCCAGGGTCCTGGGATCGAGCCCTGTGTCGGGCTCCCTGCCCCGGGGGGAGTCTGCTTCTCCCTCTCCCTCTGCTGCTCCCCTTGCCTGTGCTCTCGCTCGCTCTCTCAAATAAATAAATAATATTAGAAAGTGTAGGGGTGCCTGGGTGGCTGAGTCAGTTGGGTGTCTGGCTCTTGATTTCAGCTTGGGTCATGGTCTCGGCCTCGTGGGATCGAGCCCCACATTGGGCTCCATGCTCAGCTCAGAGTCTGCTTGTCCCTCTTCCTCCTCCCGCTTGAGCTTGCTGGTGCTCTCTCTCTCTCAAATAAATAAATAAAATCTTTTAAAAAAAGTAAAACTTAAATTCAAAAAAGTGTAAATCCACAAAAAAACTTCCAGAGTCAATTTCATAATAAGGCATAGGTGTTGGATAAATATCTTAAGAGAGAGCGATGAGGGGCGCCTGGGTGGCTCAGTTGGTTAAGCGACTGCCTTCGGCTCAGGTCATGATCCTGGAGTCCTGGGATCGAGTCCCACATCCGGCTCCCGGCTCAGCGGGGAGCTTGCTTCTCCCACTGACCCTCTCCCCTCTCATGCTGTTTCTCGCTCGCTCGCTTTCTAATAAATAAATAAATAAAATCTTAAAAAAAAAAAAGAGCGATGAATGCATTATGAAATGACACACAGCTATTTCCGTGTGTCTTACCTAAACTAGTCTTCTTGCTCCTCAGCAAACCTGATTCTATGTGTTGAGCTTGAGAGAGGGTTTGAGAAAGTGATCTTCCGCACATTAGTTTTTCTCCTTATCAGTAAGCAGAGGTAACATATGGTGAAAAGGGTAGCAGATTCTAGAAATCTTTGTGTATTTGATCAGTTTGTGTACTCACCATAAAGGGGATGAAGTGTATTCCCTTGCTTTTCTACTCTGACAGCACAGCGGTAAGCAGAGACAGAATTGCCAAACTGTCCCCAATAGACCTATGACTCTCCAGGAAAACAGGCCAGATTCTACAAGCTCCCAAAATTGCTGAGAGGGTTGAAAATCCAGTTCTTGAGAATCTACAAAGCTTTTGACACTAAAGGAGTACCTTTTTTTTAAAAGATTTTACTTATTTATTTGTCAGAGAGAGAGAGAGAGAGAGCGCCCGCAAAGCAGGGGGAACGGCAGGGGGAGAACAGACTCCCTGCTGAGCAGGGAGCCCAATGCGATGCGGGGCTCGATCCCCGGACCCTGGGACCATGACCTGAGCCGAAGGCAGACGCTTGACCTACTGAGCCACCCAGGTGTCCCTAAAGGAGTATCTTTATACTGGAAATATTCCAGAACCCATGGGCCAAATCACCCATGATTCCTCATACACCTAACAGCTTTGTTGAAGTATAATTGGCATATACTATAAAGTTTACCTGGTTTACGTGGACAGTGATTTTAGTTGCCACATCCTTTTAAGTGAATGCAATCAATTTAATTTAATTAATTCAATCAGTGTAATTCTTTGGGGGGAAAGGTAAGAAATATGTAGTAAAGTAGGATGAGGCAGGGATGGGGTTTGGTTCACATTTTATAAATCATCGGAAGGAAAATTACGAATTGGTGTATAAATAAATGTATAAACCATGACTTAAAGATAATTCAAAAACCAGTCTCAAAATAACTCCTTGACAATAAGTGGACTCGTAACCCTTTCCTGCAGATACTGCAGATAACTACAGGAGTCTCTGGAGTTTGGGACTATTTGCCAACAAAGAAAAATTCCTGTTTATCACTTTCTTTCAGGTGAACCTCGTCACGGGCCTTCTGATGTGCAAGAGCAAATGAAGGTGAGTATCTCCCAAATCTAAAGAACCAGAGACTCTTTCTCCCTCCACGGATGTGAATATCGGTAAGAGTGGGGGAATATTGAATATAGCCTAGCCCTCACTGCCTCCCTTTCCTGATCTCTTTATCACAATTCCCGATGTAGGATCAATGGCTTAATAATGAACAATTGTGATAGTTAATACTACTTTTGTTTTCATAGTGATGTCAGATATTTTTAAGCAACTCACAAGGATTAATTTCTTTAATCCTTCAGAAAACCTCTATGACATTTTCCTATCATTATTCCCAGATAATAATGAGGATATTAATAATAATAATAACTAATCATAAAGATGAAGATATTGTGGTGCCGAAATTCTAAGTAATTTGCCTGAGATCACAGAGGCAGTGGCAGTAATCTGTACATTTGAAACATTTCTTTTTTTAAAAGATTTCTTGTTCTTGCTAAACACTGTTAATGAATCACAGGACAATTTAAGAAAAGCCCCAAATGATTTCCCAGCTCATGAAACTTTTCATGTGTTTATGAAGTTCAAAGGCTCCCCCCGCCCCCGCCACCGCAAGGGCTTTACCCCACAGAAGCTGCTGATGCTTCCAATTAGACACCCACTCTCGAAACAGAAAGTACCAGCTCCCCTCTGCTGTCTGCCCCTCCCTGCTATGAGCTCCTCTGGGGCCTTGTCTGCACCTGAGGCATCTCTGAAGCCTCCATCCCGACCCAGGGGGACCCTCTGAGGTGCCCCAAATTGTTCCTTGAGTAAGTGATTCCGCAGTTGTAGATTAAACTCTACTTTAGAGGGTCAAGGCCCCGGGGAGTTGGATTGCCAGTGTGGGGACCTTTGAGACAATTCAAAGAAGGATCATAAGAGAAAGTATTCATTTTCATTATTACCACATTGAAAAGTGTTTGCAAGCTCAGAAAGTACTTTCCCTTAGCTTCTTTTACTTTTCTTGTTCACTGTTTCCTAAATGAGGGAGCTGAAGGAAAAGTAGCTTAAGATTGTTGGTCAGTGACGCACCATGACGCAAGCAAAATTGGTACGGGGAACCATCTTGCCTAACTCCCCATTAACCGTTCTTGCCAAGGTAGGACAGAATGTGACATCTGGCGCTGCTTTCTTTGCTGTCTATATTAATTGCTGTGAACCATTCCTTTCCTCTCCCCTGTGCTCATCTCCCCTATAACATTTTCCAGGAGTGTTCTGTCCCCCTGTGAATTTTTACATTTATTCTCCCAGTAGCTCTCTACTAGCTTATATGCGATCCCTTATATTTTATAGAAGCCCCTCCTTTCTTCCAGAGACCACATGGATTCTTAGAATGCTACTCTTCCCCAAATTTTCTGTATACCACACTCCACTTACGTGGAGCATTTTGCTGTTTGCAAGAATGGGTGAAGACAAACGTTCTAGTCCTGGAAACACCCTTCATTTAAGCCATTCCTTTTTGTTCTAACCTTCTTCATAATTTAGGTACAGGGGACATAATGATCTCCCAGAGTTGTTGAGGCCATTAACCAAGGTGTGCATGTTAAGACACTTTGTAAGCTCTAAAGCACTAGAGAAATGCCACTGATACTGTTTATATGTGACCTTCACATTAAAAAGGTGATGCTCAAGAAAGCAATAAAGGAAGAAAGTGATTCAGAACCAATACCAATAACATCTGGCCCTGAGCAGGCTCAGAAAGAGCTGTGCCCCCCAGGAAAAGCAAGTACCTCTGGTCAACAGAGCGAGAACATACCAGGTAAGGGGCGCCTGGGTGGCTCAGTCGGTTAAGCGTCTGCCTTCGGCTCAGGTCATGATCCCAGGGTCCTGGGATTGAGTTCTGCAACCGGCTCCTTGCTCAGTGGGGAGTCTGGTTCTCCCTCTCCCACTCCCCCTGCTTGTGTTCCCTCTCTCGCTGTCTCTCTGTCTAAGAAATAAATTAAAAAATCTTTAGGGCGCCTGGGTGGCTCAGTTGGTTAAGCGACTGCCTTCAGCTCAGGTCATGATCCCGGGGTCCTGGGATCGAGTCCCGCATCGGGCTCCCTGCTCTGCGGGGAGCCTGCTTCTCCCTCTCCCACTCCCCCTGCTTGTGTTCCCTCTCTCGCTGTGTCTCTCTCTGTCAAATAAATAAATAAAATCTTTAAAAAAAAAAAAATCTTTAAAAAAAAAATAAAAGAAGATACCAGGTAAGAGGTAGCTATGTGGGAACAATTATTCTGTCTTTCCTGGCTATGTTCAAGTATGTGGTCTAGGTATGGGGGATGGATCATGGACAGGCTTGGGGCCAGACCTGACTGAGGAGCTCGCCCAGCTCCAGCTAAGATGTTAGAACATGACTTCCAGAGTCAAAGACTTGAATTGTCATTGATATAAAAGCCAGGTGATTCTAGGCAAGTCTTCTGAATTCTCTGAACTCCAGGTTCCTAGTCCATAAAATGGAAATAATCTTGGTTCACAAATTGTTCAAAGGCGTTAAATCTAGAAAGCCCGTACAACATGGAAGGTGGTCAAGTAATTCCATCTGTGATAACCTGGGAACGTATCTTACTCACAGTTGTATCCCCAGCCCTCAGCTCAATGCCTGACATGCAGTATACCCTTAACAAACATAGGCTGAATGAAAAAAGGTCTGAATGAATGTTCTGGTAAGTAAAGAGGTTGGGAATCTAAACCTGACAATGGGAGGAGCCAGAAGCTAAAATTCTAACTGGCATTTGGTGTGTATTGGTGCAAGTCTACATCTCAGCCTCTCTGAGCCAGAAGATGTGAAAAACAGACTATGTCTAATGCCTGTGGGCACTCGGGAGGGAAGAGGCATCTCCTTATCTGACAAAACAGAGACTAACCCTCCCCAGCCCATCCATCCCCCATTTACCAACTCTTCTCCATCATAGGACCCAGGAGAGGGATGAATAGTGTTTGGGCCTACAGACTGCGGGAAAGAAAGAACCTAATAGTGTATGAAGAGATCAGTGATCCCGAGGAAGATGACTAACTCTGTAAGTGACCCTTCGCGGTCCACACCCGCACCCCTCTGCAAAATGTGCTTTCCTGTTATGGTACTGCTGTCCCGTGTTGTCGCTTGCTCCCCAAATCATTCCTTTCTCCTAGTCCCTTGAGGTGCAGCATTGAGGCTAAATGATGAGGTTTCCCACGCTCTTTGTGCTCCCTGCTCTGTATAGCCGGGGATCCTCCCTACCTAGAATGCTGTGGGCTCCCAGATCCCATGATGTATAGGCGGCATCTTCCTCTAGCCTAGAAACTCATAGGACAGGTAAGGGAGTCACTGTGGCCTGAGCATAAGGTTCTGTTTGAGGAGCAGTGAGAGGTGCTTGTAGATCATGAGGTAGGGCAGAATCCGAGTGCTCGGGGTCCTGCAAGCCCGGAGGAAGAATTTGGTGTTGATTTATCTGGCAATCGGAGCTCACTGCCACTCACGTTCCTTCTCTTTCCTTGCCTCAACCTCAGGGATGTGACAAGTGCCCATGATAAGAAGCCTTTCACGAAGTGGCCTTTCACGAACATGGGCATGGCTGTGAACTCCTAGCCATCAGGTGTATAGCGAGTAAAAGAGCGAGTTCACAGTAGTGAAAAAGTTTTTCTTACTCTGTGACAAATATTCTGTTAGATATTAGAGTTTTGTTAATGAACAAGACATATACTTAATGCATATTTCTTTCTGTTTATCCATGCACTTAACCTTAGAAAATAAGTATTGTTGGGTATTCTCTGCCCAGAACGGCACGACCCTCCTCCCCTGATGTGATTGCTGGAGGGCAGTTCTGGGTGTTTGATTCCACGTGTTTTTCTCTGCATTTACACACACACGTGGTACCACTGTAAGTATCTCCCACCTGCTTTTCCCCATTGCCTGCACATCTTGGACAAGTACCCCTCATTTTGTTCTCATTCAGCAGGTGCTCCATGCTGCAAACCCCCATTATTCATTTACATTGCAGCAGTCATCGATAATTAATAAACATTTACAAGTTTCTCTCAGTTGTTTGCTCCTCTCGTTCTTGGGCACAGAGCCCTGTACATATGTGTGAGTGTTTCTTCAGCACACAGTCTTAAAAGTGGAATTGTCATGTCAAAGGGTTCATTCATTCAATAAACACCTACTGAACATGTCCTGTGCACCGAGCTGCTCTAGGTGCTGGAAAAACAGGGAACATGACAGACAAATGTCCCAGCTCATGTGGAGCTGACATTCTAATGGGGGATGTTTTCAGTTTTCGTTTTTTGTTTTGTTTTGTTTTGTTTTGTTTTGTTTAAGATTTTATTTATTTATTTGACAGAGAGAGAGACAGCGAGAGAGGGAACACAAGCAGGGGGAGTGGGAGAGGGAGAAGCAGGCTTCCTGCTGAGCAGGGAGCCCGATGCGGGGCTCGATCCCAGGACCCTGGGATCATGACCTGAGCCGAAGGCAGATGCTTAACGACTGAGCCACCCAGGTGCCCCAGTTTTCACTTTGACGGACACTGTACATCCCAGTCCCGGGGTGGGTGCCGGTTGGACACCTTGGCTGTTGTTCTCTGTAAGATCTCCAGGGTCAGGGGCTGAGATGGTCCATTTAGAAGTCTGTGAGAGGGCGCCTGGGTGGCTCAGTTGGTTAAGCGACTGCCTTCGGCTCGGGTCATGATCCTGGAGTCCCGGGATCGAGTCCCGCATCGGGCTCTCTGCTCGGCAGGGAGTCTGCTTCTCCCTCTGACCCTCCTCCCTCTCATGCTCTCTGTCTCTCATTCTCTCTGTCTCAAATAAATAAATAAAATCTTAAAAAAAAAAAAAAGAAGAAGAAGAAGTCTGTGAGACGGGGCGCCTGGGGGCCTCAGTCGGTGAAGCGTCTGCCTTCGGCTCAAGTCATGATCCCAGGGTCCTGGGATCGAGCCCCGCATTGGGCTCCTTGCTCAGCGGGGAGCCTGCTTCTCCCTCTGCCTGCCGCTCCCCCTGTTTGTGCTCTCCCTCTCTCTCTCTCTGACAAATAAAATCTTTTAAAAAATAATAAAAATAACTTTTAAAAATTTAAAAAAGAATTTATCCTTAAAAACACTTTTCTTCCCAAACCAATAGAATCTTGGGTGTGATGGGAGATAGACGTTCAGGCTCTAATTGCCATCCTCCTCCAATCATCTGTTTTTAGATATGTTATATATTTTTGTCACTATATGAATGTGATTTTCCTCCATTTTATTCTCTAAATGGTTCTTCTTGGCATAAAGAAACCCATCAGTTATTGTATATAAGGGGCCCCTGGCTGGCTCAGTGGGTAGAGCATGCAACTCTAAATCTCAGGGTCGTGAGTTAGAGCCCCGCATTGGGCATGGAGCCTACTAAAAAAAAATTAAAAATAAATTATTGTCTATAGTATTTTGTAACCTGGCTATGTGCAGGTCCCTTTGGGGGTGTAGTTTTTTGGGGGTTTGGTTTGTTTTGTTTGGCTTATAACAACAAACATTTTATTTGCTCCCGATTTTATGGGTCAGCTCTTGGGGTGGGCCAGGGAGTTCTTTTGCTGGTCTTGCCTGGGATCACTCATACAATTAAAGTCAGCTAGCAGGCTGGTAGGGGCCTCCGCCAGCATGCATCTTTGCTTCCTGTGGTCTAATCCTCAAACAGGCCAGCCTGGGCTTCTTCACACGGCAGGCTGATGTCCTCTGAGACCTGCTCCTGCCCCAGGCTCTCTCTGGAGGCTCCCTTGCACCCAGGCTAGCACGGGACTCCATCTGCTTTATTCTCTGAAAAGAAAATTCCTTTCGCAAGGCAATATCATTCTAAAAGGGCAATCTATTGCAGATTTCACAGAGAAGACTGATGGGGGTGAAGGAAGTATGTATTTTACAGAGCTGAGCAATTCATTGCAAAAATCACTTAAACCACCTTTTCTCCCCCAAAATATCACCCTTAAGCTATTCGACTACTGGTTCTGTAGCTGGGGTGTAGGAGAGCAAGAGCACCTGGCTCCGGTGGGGGGGGGGGAGTCCCAAACAGCCCAGGTTTGGCCACTCACCACTGACAAAATCCAATGGCAAAGGACCAAGTGGTAGTGAAATAAAGGAATTTATATCACCGGGAATACCGCGGACTAGTGTCTCAAAGATTGCCTCCAAAGTGCCAGAGAACACTTCCAGGTTTATATACGGAAAGTGTGGGGTAAAGTTGGGTGGGTAAGTGCAGGTAGGCCGTGAAGTTGGTCAAAGGGATCATTGTCTTGGGGTCAGTCACACATGAGGGTCGTCTTGCTGGCTCAGGGCAGTCCTTCTTGCTTGAGGGGGTACTTGTCTGGGGATGCTTTGCCCTGGGGTCTTCGACCTGAGCCAAGAGACAAACTGGAAAGAAGAACCCAACTAGAAAGTTTGAGGTCGGGCGCCTGGGTGGCTCAGTTGGTTAAGCAACTGCCTTCAGCTCAGGTCATGATCCCAGGGTCCTGGGATCGAGTCCCCCACCAGGGTCCTGGGATCGAGTCCCCACATCCTCAGCGGGGAGCCTGCTTCTCCCTCTGACCCTCTCCCCTCTCATGCTGTTTCTCTCCTGCTCACTCTCGAATAAATAAATAAATAATCTTTAAAAAAAAAAGAAAGTTTGAGGTCAAAGTAGATGCCGCTGAAGTCCTCTTTCAGTTCTTTTATTCCTTCTAAGACAGAGAAACTGAAGGGACCCCATGAAAGACTGCTTTATTGCTGCCTTTATTCCTTTTTTTTTTAAGATTTTATTTATTTGACAGAGACACAGCAAGAGAGAAAACACAAGCAGGGGGAGTGGGAGAGGGAGAAGCAGACTCCCCGCTGAGCAGGGAGCCCGATGCGGGGCTCGATCCCAGGACCCTGGGACCATGACCTGAGCTGAAGGCAGATGCCCAACCGACTGAGCCACCCAGGCGCCCCTGCTGCCTCTATTCTTGCTAGGACCTACACCCCCACCTTACACACGACTTATAGAACAGATAGTGTATGTCCTCCTTGTTAAAGGTCATGGAGTTAATGATTTCTTTGGAGTCTTCCAGCATAATAGATAACATCTTAGAAGTGACTGGGCAAATCATCATGTACGTTTTCCAGACCACTGACTCCAGACACCTCGACACTAAGACCCCTGGCTCCAGGGCCTATGTGACTTACGGAGGACACCTGAGCACTCGTCCTTGTTTTGACCAGTTCCTCAGTGCCTGAGAGGACATGTATACCAAACCACCGTCCTCAATAAAAACTTCAGACCCCAGGGGCACCTGGCTGGCTCAGTTGGTGTGGTTTGCAACTCTTGGTCTCAGGATCTTGAGTTTGAGCCCCACACTGGGGGTAGAGTTTACTTTAAAAAAAATAGGGGTGCCTGTGTGGCTCAGTCGTTAAGCGTCTGCCTTCGGCTCAGGTTGTGATCCCAGGGTCCTGGGATCGAGCCCCACATCGGGCTCCCCGGTCCGTGGGAAGGCTGCTTCTCCCTCTCCCACTCCCCCTGCTTGTGTTCCCTCTCTCGCTGTGTCTCTCTGTCAAATAAACAAAATCTTTAAAAAAAAATTTTTTTTAATTTAAAAAAATAAATAAAATCTTCTCCTTTATATATTTTTAAATTTTTTATTTATTTGAGAGAGAGAGAGCATGAGAGGGGGGAGGGGCAAAGGGAGAAGCAGACTCCCCACTGAGCTGGGAGCCCCGATGCTGGGACTCGATTCCAGGACTCCGAAATCATGACCCGAGCCAAAGGCAGTCTCTTAACCAACTGAGCCACCCAGGGGCCCTAAAATCTCCTCCTTAAAAAAAAAGAAAAGAAAAGAAAAACTTCAGACCTCAAGCAAAGACGAGTCTCTCTCTCCTCTCCTTTCTAGTCTCCCAGACACCACCTGCTGTACTCTATTACTTACACTGTTCAACAAACTCTGCTCTCATTTCCTCTTCAATTCTTCATTTCTATTCCTGTGTGAAGTCAAGGACCTTCTTAGCTGGTTCTGGGGGGCCCCCTCTAGGTTCCTGGACCCAGCCAGCCTGCATCACTTCCATCTATCCC